GTTTAATAAATTTGTTACACATTTTGACAGTAAAAAAATATACACACTATAAAAAAAACAATGCTCAGGTGAAATATTTACTTTGTGTTGCAAGTCGAAATAGTGTAAACAAAAATCGCAAAATTGCAGCAGAGGTCGCGAACTAGTCAAGATTTCTGCTATACATCCGGGTACTCACTGGGAAAAAACAATAACAAAGGCAACAACCAGTCCCGGGGAATTGCGTTAGATCAGTGCCCCTGTAAAGTTAAGTATCTTTTAAATATAATATGTCTTTAGTTTAAGTTAACAAGTGCTAATTAGTGTTCTAAGCTGATTGTACTACAGAGAAATAAAGGATATATGAATGAAAAACAAAGTTTGTTGGTTTTATTTTTTCACAATCTTTAAATAATTCACAGCTCATGAAACAATTTGCAGTGACACTAATACAGGATGAATAAATAACATCAGTCTCAACTGTGAGACATAATTTTTAATCATGGATGGATATTAAAATACATTTCATGTCAGATTATAATATAATACAGCTAACTCATTTACATGTTTTATCTAGTTATCTTGTATTATCTATCAACAGTGAAGTTGAACTGAAGAATTGTGAACACTCGTAATATTTTCTGGTTGAATACAGTTTATTAGCAACAACAAACACGCCCAAAGCTTTACATTTCGTATATACCATATTTATTCGTGTATAATAAGCACCCCTAATTATGGGCAATTAAATCCTGAAAAAAATATCTCTCGTGTATAATACGCACAGACTTTTCTTCAGTCTCATTTCAGGCTGTCATGATCCGACATCGGAAATAGCATAACATATCCGAATTGAATTACGCAAGTTAATCCTGTTGTTACACTATCTGGTAATAAAAATGTGTTCTCTGTATATCTGACCATATGTTTGTCATCTATTTTATTATTTTTATTTAAAATTTCGTTCAATAATGTTTACCTAAATTTCGGCAAAAACATGTGTCCCTCCGATACTTACAACTTCCGTTTACCCCGTTCCATAGGTTCCGCTTAACCACATACTGTGACCGCGCCAAATCACATTATTCACCGCAAAAATTATAATATTTTCTTCTGTTTCAATTTTTACAAGTCTACACATCTAGATAAACATATGTCATGGTTAACTTTTAGTGAGAAAATATGCTGAAACGTGAAAAACCTTGTCCATTTGCATAGTTTTCCTTTGTTTACATCACATGCTGTCATCGAAGCCACACGGAGTGTGAGAGTTACGTTCACTTATATATATTTTGTCGTGTACCTCACAGTCGCACAGTTTTAGTAGCATATCTATATAATTATGCAAAACAATATGTAAAGCCCCTGGCTGTTCTGATTTTAGCGTTTGTTTTATAGGGGAGAAAAGTCTGGTTATGTGACAGGCTATGCAAATTAGCCCATGGCAGTGGTGTTATACGAAGTTATGTTACTTCTAAAAACGACGATTAATTTAAAACTAGACGTAAATTTTAAGTTGTTTGTATATATTGTCTTCAGAAAATGTTCATAAATTAAGTTCAGGTGAGTAGTTGTAATATTTTCATTCCAAAGCTAGTAAACAACAACACAGATATTTTGAAATTGCGTCAGTCATGACGTATTTTTCCTTAATTGAGAGTCATATATGCAAGAATTCTGCGTCAGGGGAAACCCTGGTTACGTGTGGCCTGCCACTCCGAGGATGGTCTCTGACTGCATTCGTCTGTTGCCAACGTTGCCATAAACACCAAATGGTGTTTCTGTGGACGTTAAAATATCTTGCAACATCACGTTGACTCGATCCTGCTTCAAGCATACCAAGGGCTCGCAGACACTCATTTTCGGACAGGCGTGGTATTTTGTAACGTTGAATAATTACGTAATTTTGTTGTTTTTCTGAGTGGTTGTTGTCAGCATGATGCTAAACAATGCATATGGAATCCTGTTAACGCACATGTTTTTATACCCATTCTTGTGTAGTGAAATGAATGGGGCTTGCATAAAAGTCAACTTTTGCATGGAATGCATGCTTTTCTGTAGCAGTTGCGTTTTTATGACTTGATTCCATACATGGACTACAATATTGATACCAAACTTTACTTGTTTGAAAAATACCATAAGATTTTGGTGTCACGGGAACTTTTGTTGTCGAGTGTGGATGTATCCTCTGATATGTTTGAACATTAGTTTGTCTTCTGTGAATATTTAAATATGTATTGGAATTTATATTTCTGTTCATTGTCTACTTTGGGAGATATTACATTAATGTTAATGTATTTCTGTTCATTGTTGACTTATCAGAAATTATTCGCGATAACAATTATGCTGTCATCAGCTGTTCACTTTGTTGGCATGCAGGGGACAGCAATCTGCAGTTATCAAATTTCTAGGTCTCCGACAATGTTTTTTTAAGATTGTGATTTGACTGCCTCTGTAGTCTAGTGGTAGAGCATCCGACCAGAGAGCGGAAGGTCCGGGGTTCGATCCCCGGCCGCGTCTTACCAAAAGATGTTAAAAGATGGTACTTGTTGTTACCCTGTCTGGCGCTCGGCATTAAGGGGCTAAAACAAGGACTGGTCAGCTCGGAGTCAGTATACTGTGTCTGAGTGGGGTATTCATGTTAAACTGTGGCATGGTATCTCAGTGGGCTAGCACTATAAATCGGCATCAGTCCGGACTGGTACAAGCAGCCACACACACACGCACGTGCATGCACGTCTATATTTTAGTGCAATAATCTTGGATGTGATGTTAAACCCAATTTCATCTCATCTCATCAAGATTGTGATTTAATATATTCTAAATGATGGGGTGAAATAATGACTGTTGTAAATGGTGTTACAGTTTTGGGCAAAAAATATATCATTTACACTCCAGTGCTTTCGTCAATTTCGCTGTCTTATTTCTGTCTGTAGTGTGTACCGTATCAAAGATCGGGTCTCTGACAATGATTATTGCTGCAGGTTCACCCTTTTGTTTACAGGTAATTAGCAACAATTAAGTCATATATTCCCCGCAGAAGGTGACGTGTTTGCCATGTGCAGCAGCCAGAAAATGTTGCTTATGAGTTACATTTGAACGATTAATTCACAGTTTTCAAGAAATATGGACAAATCTGGAAGCAAACTTGTAGCATATTCTAAAAAAATCTCCCACTTCCTGTTTGGCCACAAGAAATAGTTGAAAATTCCTAATTCACACACAGTGTCCATTCTTACACGAGGGTACGTTCATGAAAGCCAGTGCCATCTTATCTAAAGGTTTGACGAATCTCTTTTAAAATACGATTGTTTGTGATCTGAAATTTGTATATTCTTATGGAGAAAGAGTTGTAGGTATATACATTAAGGTTTTGTTTTGTTGTCACTCCAAAATACGAAATTTGCTTGTGTTTTGAAACTTTACCCGTGATTGCCTGTTAGATAATTTTATTCATATTATATGTTATAAGTTATATGTCATTTTCGATGTTTGTAGGGGAAAGTGAGAGTGTCAATGCAGATAAAACTATTGAAAGATGGACACCATTTGCAATCACGCTGAATGAATGTTGGTGCCATATCTAAGGCAACAATGAGAGAAAACCGTGGAGTCACGGCCTTAGTCAATCCCTGTGTTGTTTCCGGAGCAGAACTAAAAAACTATTCAACATCTTTCATCCAAACTTGGTACATGTATTAATCAGGGGCTGAAGTGGTGCCTTTTTGCCTTTAGAAATATTTTTTTCCTGTTTTTAAGTTTGGCTTTGACCTCGTCATAGTGATGTACCTCTAAAACCATGGATATTCTTTCATGACACTTTGCACACAGAGACCAGGGTGTCAAATGACCTTCCAGTCTTTGTAAGACCAGTACCTGATCCCATGGTTCTTCAAGTGGACGCCCTATCTATGGATTGGACCAGCTTGTTCGTCTACATGTTCCCTCCATGGGCTTTCCTAGACAAACAGATCCATAAAATAGAGTTCAAGGTTGCATCATCATCTTGATAGCTCCTTTGTGGCAAAGCAGAGCATGGTTTCCAAGGCTGTTGCCACTACACATGGAAGAACCAATCCATCTTCCTCTAAACCGAGATCTCCTATGTCAACCCAAGATGCAGGTTTTTCTAAATCTGTCTCAGCAGCCGTGGCTAAGTCATGGAGACCATCTTCATCCCTCCTTTATAACATTGGAGAAGTTCATCCAGTAGAAAAGACGACATAACCTGGGAGACAGAACTGTGACTATCCCCATGGTAGCAGACTTTTTACTCTGTCTACATACAGCATCACAAAACCGGAAATGACTATCAGAGAGATTCTTTTAGAACGTCTATGATGTCATTGTTATGAATAATGATGGAAGTTCCTGAGAAGGTACCAGGTACCACATATTTGTGTTCTTGCAACCTTCAGGATTGGAAACAACTATTAAGGGATGAAATCACAAGAAGTCTAAGTCTTCAGTCAACTTCACTAGGAGTGGACTAGAGCTTTCCCCTCTGTTATATTCTCTCTAGTTGATACACATTTGAGAAAGAAGTGCGGATTTTGGCCTTGGCAAGCTAAAGAGCTTGATGCTTATTTGTGATACTATTGTGTTGACAATTAGTTGTGTGAAGTTGGCAGTCAAGAGGACTTCTGTTGAAAAATCTGAAGATTAGTTTTAGTGTGACTGCAGCCAAAATAGAGGTGGTATCTTAGAATTAATAACAATGATGTCATTGTTCCTATGTTCCTGCCTTTGCCCTTGCTCAAAAGTTTGCATTCATCATGGGGTGAATGCCCATGTTCAATGTGTTGCACATTGGTTCCACACGAGTGACCTCTGGCAGTAGTGTATATTTTTAGTTTATAAATTCTTCTTGTAAAAAATGCACCTTCCCAGCATCAATTCATTGTTAACACTTTGTTTCGTTTGTACTTTTGTTCGTATCATACCATGGTTTTGTGTTGTGGTACAGGTCTATTGTTCAAAGCCTTAATGAACAAAACTCATAATCTATTACTTTCTTTCAGTTCCAATATCAACACTTATACTTGGCCCAAACAAGAAGGAACATGTGCAGTATTATGAGAGCAAAGATGGTCAAGAGATGTGCGAAAATGTTACCTATCTTGGTAAGTGCTGCAACTACCGTATATAATGTCAATATTTGAACTTGGTCCAATGTCCATTTTGTATATGCTTGAAACTATATCAGTGTGAATTGAAATAGTTTTGCTTTTTATTCTCAAGAGAAAGTGTGTCAGGATTTGAAGATGCATATGTGAAAATATGGCAAATATCTGGCAAGTTAGGGTTCTTTTCCATTTTGTTTGTTCTATTTTCTCCAGTTGCTCATGCAACGAAATCTTAGGTTGACATTTCTGTTCCATTTTTATTTAGGGAATTGGTGGTGCTTCATGTGTCACATGTTAGGAAGGATATGATTAATTGCAATTGCTGATGGCCAATGCTTTTTTACATTCGGGTATTTTTACTTGAAAACCTGTGCAGTAGTATAGACGAGACGGAATCCTAGCTCACCACCACCTCAACCATTCCCAAACCCTATCAATGCTTCTATCTTAAGTTTATGCCAATTATTTGATGACGATCCTTGGGTCGTCATGTCCTTTTTACTAGGAGACCAGACTGTATACTCTTCTTCACAATTGGAAAGAAACAATTGATAACCATATTTGGATCAAATGATTTGACAACCAAAAATCACCGAACGTCTATCAGCCAACACAAATAAAATTGCAGAAATTTGAACAAAAAACAAAAATAAAGCATTCACTCATTGCTGGCATTTCAGATAACATATCAATAAGAGTTGAAGACTTGTAATAGATTATCATACGTTAATCGAGAGTACAGTCCACATCAATCATTTGTGAATCAAACATTAATTAGATCAAATATCCATGGTAGAATGTTGGGAATACGAGCTGTCATGTTATGATAATATATTCAATTTTCTGAGGACATTTACAATGTGTATTTGATTATATATATCAGTTATCTTGTACAATCACAGCATGTACCATGTACATTAATTAGATTCACGGAAAATACTATTTCAGCAAACCAATCATAGCGCCATCCTCACAGTTTCAATGAAAGGAAAAACAAAATCTAATCAGACTTTAGAGCACATTGTATCCATAAGTGGTTAACCCAAATGCAAAAAGGTATTGCTGTCATCATTTTAGGAGTTATGTTGATGTTTTCAATAGTTGTCTTATGTTTGTATCACTTGTACCATCAACAGAAATGGGGGCTGAGCTACCACATGTAAAACCGACCTCAACAGAATTTGTTTACAAAATGGAATCGACACTTTTGAATCTCCCTTTGCGACGGATAGGGCATTTCATTTACATGTTCAGGTGGTTTGAGCCATCACATATGACTCTTAGTCATTTTATATGAAAAAAAAGAGCAGTTATTTGTCAAAACAGGCGAGCATGTGGGACAGCTGATAGACAAGAAATCGAGGCAAAACTATGATGCGTACAGGCCCTGTCGATCACTTCAGGCTTGGCCAATCAATGTTTACATTTTGATCATGAACTTCCTGCCCATAAATATACACAAAACCAATTGATATTAATTACCATAGCTTTCCTTCCATATCTTAGATTTGAATATTTTCTGTAACTCAGCATCATAAACAGAAAGACAATCTCTAGCGCCGTGCTAAATTGCCATGACACACAGTTGATAAAAATATGCAATACTTGGACTAAATGTTATGTTACAGACTTGACGTTAGTAGTCATTCAACATAACTGTACAGTGGGGAAAAGTAAATCTTTCTGACCAGTCTGATTAATTTCTTTTTAAAATTAGCTGTCTGATATTATAATACATGTAGTTACATGTATGTGACATGATTGCATAATAAAAAAAACTTGCAGCCATTCACATGAAGTTCAACATGGCAGAGAAAGGGTTGAGAAGAGCGGCAACCATTTTAATAATCTCACCATATTTTGCAATACATAGCACTGTATGAAAAATGACTTACACAATGCTAAAGCAGAGATGATTAGGGTGATGATGGATATTATTTTGATTTTGCGCACTCGGTGTTTGAAATCTTGATTCACAGTTGAAAATATAATGAAATGTTGGTGAGGATTAAGAATGGGGATTAGCAGCTCATAAATAATGGCAATTAAGTTATGGAGACATATAATTGTCATGACTACAGGGTAATCCTTTGGAATTAAATGTTCATTCAGACAATGGTTGTCCCAAATCAGTCGCTATGACAACTTCCCTCCTTTCCTCGAAGCTTGGACCCCAAGCTTACATGAGTCAAAATTAATATGTTTGAACTTTTACACCAAATGAAACAGTGCAAATGTGTATGTAATCAGTTAGATAAGTGCATGACATAGTTGAAAGCCTCGTTTAACAAATTTTATGTTTTGTGTTTCCATGGAAACTCTTTTGACTTAGTCTCAAACGAGGGTAGGGCCATAACTTGAAAACCGTTCAACATATTTCAGCAAGACTTGGCATATGCTTTACTTATCGGCAGTAGTGGTGATTTTTGCTATTTTAATCATTTTCGAAATTGTATTTTTTATGTCAAACAACTCAAGGTTTTTTTCCAGAGACATAACTGTCAAACTTATGAATATTTTTATGCTATACATGTGCAACTATTGCCTTTTCATATTTTTCAGTTTTGAGTCTCCCTTTTTTTTTATTTCTTGTTCCCGCCAAATCTCTACAGCTAATGAAAGTTTCTGCATGAAACCATTATCTTTGCAGTCTTTCATTTGCCATTATTGTTTTTTTGATTGGCAAACACATTTACAGTAACAACTAATGTTTTAAATAAAAGGTGCAGGGAGACATATGTTTTTGAGTAAAAACACATTCTAGTTACACTGTTTGGTTATAAAAGTATTTGGGAGTGGTAGGGTATCCTGGTGGTTAAAGCGAGGGCTTATCACGCCAAAGACCTGGGTTCAATTCCCCAAATGGGTACAATTGCTTGAAGCTCATTTCTGGTGTTCCTCGCCATTATATTGCTGGACTACTGCAAAAAGTTGCGTAAAACTATACTCACTCACTCACCATATTTGTCTGAGTGGATATATATTAAATGCCATTTTTTTATCTGTAACAGGGTTTATAATTGTTTTTGTTTTTTACTATAATGTTTTTGCATTTGAAATAACAAGAGTGCAGAAACCCTCAAATGGTGACAAATTTGGAAAAGGATATGATTGTATTGGTAGAAATATTGTGTGAAAGAAATTACAAATCCAAAATAAAGGAAGAATGCAATTTATTCCATATACAGAAATGTGCAATGTTCTGTGCGTCTGTCTACATGGTTTGTATACACCCTGTTTAGTGTTACAAGTGGCCTGAAACAAAGATGCCTGCATTCCCACCTACTTTTCACCCTTCTCATAAATGACCTCATCATTTCAAATAACAACCTCAACCTTGGAATTGCTACAGAAGATTCACACATAATCCTAGCAGAATCAGAAAAATGATCTTTACACAGGAGTGTTTGAGTGCTTGGTGCCTGACAAAGAAGATGAATATAAACAATTGTTTTATCTAACTTATAAACCGAAAAAAGAAACTACATTTATTAACATTTTTATGTTTCAAACAAACTTTCCATGAACCTTAGGAAACAGGTGTAACTTATTGGTTGCTGGGGTACGGTACTTGAAAAAGTACGGTACATCTTAAAAGCGCCTCTGTAGCTTATCGTTACACTCATGGGGCTCCAAATACGAAGGTTGCATGCTCAATTCTCAGGAATATAAAGAAAACATTTCTAGCGAGGAACATTCATATGTTACAATCTAAACGGAAGTTGTACTAATAAAATCCTCGGGATATTATATAAAAATCCAAGGAATATTTCTGTTTCTGGAGAACTGGAGAACAATAGGACATCACTAGAAGTCTTTAAGTGTAAATGCAGTAGGAAATAGAGCCAAATGTTTCTTCCTTGGCCAAAGAAAATTTGCTCGAAATGTTGCTACAGGTGGCAACACGGGTTGGACCCTCCTGTAGTCCAGCAGGCACTGGTGTAGTGTCACCAGACTTTCTGTATGTATCCAAAACATGGACCAGGAATGTACTTCTTATCAGACCTGGGTATGGTCTCATAGGGCGCGAGGAAGAAAACAAAACTGGATGTACAGAGTTTGAGAGAAACGGAGTTATTATGGGATTAGGTCATCTCTACCACTTACCACACAGTTAAAACTGTGTCATGGTATCTGTAAAAGCTTATACACCTTGCTATATAAGTACAATAACCTTGACCGCAACGTTAAACCCCATTTCACCTCACCTCACCTCACTTACATGACAGACTCGGTACAGCGCTCGCAGTCAGTGAAGCTGAAGATAAAATATTTTTCAAGACTTAATCGTACCATAGAAAAAAGCACTTCTTCAACCACATAGTGCAACTGGTATAGGAGGAAATAAAGTGAGACTTTACTCATGCTTCAAAGAAACATACAGTGTAGAGCTGTACATCACAGCATTCATACCAAGATCACACAGAAGTGCTCTGGTGAAGTGGAGTAACGTCACTTTGAGTGGAAAGTGGACGAAATAACAACACCTAACTGTATTACATTTGTGGAAGATGAGTAACATGTGTTATTATATTGCCCACTCAAATACAACGCAAAAGTCTTTTTCTTTATTTCGCAAAAGTTCCTCAGAATGTTTGTAGAACTTTTGCTAGCGACCCGGGCTCTACGCAGAATGTTTGTAAAACTTTTGCGTAGCCAAGCGGGGACTACACAGAATGTTTATAAAATTTCTGCATAGCTACACAAACTCTCCACGGAGCTAATGCGTAGTATCTGCGAAACTAATTGCCCCTTTTATGGGACCAATTAGTTTTATGACCACCGGGGGTGTACATCCCATATGGTGACTGTTTTTCACTATATTTATATATTCAAATTTTATTTATAATACCACACTATTACAGTACTCCTTGAAACAACAGAGTAAGTACAATAAGTACAATACATTGAATGAGAACAAATGATAATGCAGTGCGCAAAGATGGATTGTGTCTGTCATCTTGCAAATTAGGAACGAGACTAATGGATTATCATGA